AAATACATTGCCATTTTGAATATTGCATTGCCATTTTGCATATTACATTGCAAATTGAATTTTGCTACACATATGCTTCCATAGCTCGTAGCCGCTCTCACGGTGGGATTGAATACCGTTCCCACAGTGGAGAGGCTCCGCAATGTCAAGAGAAAACTTGAAAGGGAACGTCTCCAGTTACTGTCGCAACCTTGGTTCCCTGAGAGCGGGAACGAGACATTGCAGAGATTGCCGTGCTCGCTGCTGACACAATTGTCGTGTGCATCACATTTTATATTGCCTCTCGAGCTTGTTTTTGTCTCCGCAATGTCTCGTTCCCACTCTCAGGTAACTGAGGTTACGACAGTAAACAGAGACGTTTTTGTGTATTAATGAAAAAAAGCAAAAAGTGTCTCTACTGTACCCAGTCTACTGTACATACATTTAAACCTAATCCAGTGTAACGTGTGGAAAACTCATTGCTTCGTCCCTAATTTATGGAGCAATTAAAGCCCTTTATTTGGCTCTATGCATGCTGATGTGTGGACATGAAGAGCAGTTGGATAAGTTTAATTTTCAAGACTTTACAGAAAATAACGTGCAGTTAAAAATGCAACAGGTATTATCATCTATATATGATGAACAATTAAATGATAATATTGCCTAAAACTGGTCCTTTTAGATCCAGCAGTGTGGGCGCGTGTGGACTTCATGACTGGATTGCAGAATGTGGAGTTCCCTGGATCTACAGTGCTGATCTTCCTGAAATCCCCAGTGTGCAGCCTTGTCATTAAACAATACATTTATTGTGGGCATTAGAAGCCTACATATCTTTAGTTTATATAAAACCGTAATACATTCATCAAACAATTTCATCAGAAACCTTTATTTAAACTTTTGAAGGATCTAAGGATCCTTAGTAGCAACCTGCATTTGTTTTGCTTCAAGAAAGCAACCATACATATGTTTTACTGCCTGTTATATTAATTCATTAATTAATTTATAATTATTTCTAATTTAATGATTTTATTGTTTAATTTAATCATATTATCATTTATTACAAATTGTTTTTAAACCATTCATATATTCATTTAATTTATTTATTTATTGATTGGTCATATTATATTATTTTTCCATTGTTGTTTAGTCTTATGAAGACAAAAAGCCCTTGAAACACACAGTCATGAGTAAGAGATAAGAGAATGTCTCCATTTCAAGGTTTTTAACGTCACAGGACAAGCAGTAATTTTCCATTGCTATTGCTTTGTGGTATAACAGTACTTGTTGGATTTGTGTTCGTCAGACAAAGTCTGAGCATTGAAACATACACAACTTATTCAAAGATTATTCAATAAACTTGCTCTTTTATCATCATCACTTCATCTCCTGCTCTTCACTGGCTTTAGTTGGTCAATTTCTTGGCTGATAAAAGACTGTTAATACAGTTTTGGGTATTAGACAATTTTGCTGACTAGTCCTGTTACCACACAAAATGGATATTTTCTGACAGGATCTGGCATCCGGGACTGGATCTGATATTTCTGGCATGGAGGCATATGATCTAACAGTGTCATACTCACCAATATGTTGTTTCAAAGCCATAAGACTTTGTTCATCTTTGGAACATAAATGAAGATATGTTATATAAAATCTGACAGATTTTGGTCTTTGAACTGAAAGTTTGTTCACCCAAAACTCTGATGTTTTAAAATGTTCATAAGTAGATTGTAAAATAAATGTCTATGAATCCTGTGGTTTAATCGTAAGTTTTCTGTAGTGCAACGATCACTTTATATGATGGGCAGATGTAATTTAGGCTTTTATTCACATTAAACAGTTTCATTCATATGGTGTGATTTTATGATCATGGATTCATTTTATGAACTTTTGGTGAATACATTTTAAATTGATAGACAGAAATTTGTCTGTAACAGACTCAGATTGACAGATGGTAGGTTCAATAGTTTATTGCAGAAATGAGTTAACAGATGAAAAATGGTAATCAATGCAAATAAACGCAATGTTTAGTGAGGAGACTAAATGTAAATAGCAATACTGTCCTTGCAGGTTGATCGTGGACGCTGGGCAGAGGATGAAGATGAGAAGAAATTGTTGATCAGGTAAGTATCCAGGTATGGGATTGCACACAGGATGGATGAGTAGAGGAGATATAAATAGGGAACTATTTGAGGGGACAGCCATTTGTAGTGGTGTCCGAAACCATAGTGGACGCTCTCAAGCGCACTCATTCAATCCCACAATGAACTGCAAAAACGAGTATATTGAATTCCTGTGTCTCGCCAGAATATGGCGCCCGCAGCTGAATCATTCATCCATTTGTTCATTTTACAAAGCGCTCGTCCACGGTGTACAGCATAATACAATAAATGCATTGTAAACTGATTATTAAATTGCTGAACTAGGGTTTTATACATAATTTCCATGACCGAGTTCAAGATAAATCCTTTCATCTCACTACTGGAGCTGCCAGTTTGCTAGTTTCAAATGATTATTAAAGAGCAAGCACAAACTATGCAAAAGCCTTTCCGGTGCACTCAGTGTCCAAATTCACTCACTCGTTTTCATTCCCTCCTTCAAGTGAACTGTATTAGTGGCCTAATGTAGGGAATAGAGGGTATAGGGGGGCGATTTCAGATACAGCCAAGGAGATCATATAAGCAATCTGTAGCTGAGTTTGAGACCACACAAAGACTGGGTGTGAGGTGTGTGCTTAAGGCTACGTCCACACGAAGCCAGAGCTTTCCCTATCCAATCTTTTGTTTTCCCCCTCGTCTCAAGAAATATCTGCGTCCACACTAAACCACAAAACCGACACAAAATGGTGTAGTATACATGCCAGACCAGCATGTGGCGCTGTAATTCTTCCACAGAGATACACTAAAAACGGAGAAAAAGACTTGGACTATGCGCATAAACCTTGCGCGCGGTATACAAACGAACATGGAACAATACATTTATTAATCAGTGTTAATGTTAGTTAAGAAAAAGACAATCGTTCAGTGTCTGTTCATGTTTTCGTTGCTGTTACGTGACGTAGCGGTGTCCGACTAGGGGCGAGACGTGGGTTGATGACGTCATCGTTTCAGAAAATATACGGATTCGCTGTCCACACGAAAACGCAAGGGCGGCGTTTTCAGATTTATCCACTCTGGGACCCGGTTTCAAAAAATATCGGTTTCACTCTCCCAAAACGCCGGATCCATGTGGACGAAACGCTTATACGATACAAAATTTATGCGTATACAGCTAAGCAAAATTTATCCGTATACAGCTAAACGCGTCTCCTTGTGGAAGGGACCTAATGCTGCGTTCAAGTCCTCCTGGGACGTTCATACTTACGAGTTGACAAGTCGTAATTACGACGTCAGGTGCGTTCAAGTCAGTTTAGTCGGCACAAGATGGCGGTGTACCTTCTTTTAATAAATTACAAGAAAATACAACAGGGTCTGTTAACTCTGCTTATAGAAAATGAAGAGTAAAGAATTCGCATCAGGTGTGTTTTGCGTTTTTAATATTTTTAGAACCTGCAACATGGCAAATCAAAAGATTTTTCACCTATAGGTGCAAAAATTATATAATTTTTTTACTTGGATTTCATTAACTAGCTGCGTAACAAGAACATGACCAATTTAAGTTTATAGGACAACTAAACTTAACTATCAATTTAAACAAAAATTTACCGTCAACTACAGACGTTGCATCCATCGACTCCGCCATGTTTCTCATTGACACGCCCCCAACTCGGAAACTCGGGGCTTAAAGAAAATTTTGAGTTTCCCACTCATAATAACGACTTTGTGGTGGTGTTCATGTGCGTTCAACTCGTAAATACGATCTATCCAACATGACTTGAATGCACCATATATGTGGTGACTTGATTGCTGATTAATCCAGACCAGGTGTGGGTGATTAGGACTCTGGTGAAGGTGCACGTTGTGACTGAGTAGTGAGGGAGCCTGGCCAATCTGTGACTGTCAAATTTGATTAAAAATATACTAATTTGTGATCCAAACACAAACAAATTCTTATAGATTTGGACTGACATGAAGCTTAGAGCCATTCCACACGGAGACGCGTTTAGCTGTATACGTAAAAGAAATTGTATCAGCATTTCGTCTAGACAGATCCGACGTTTTGGGAGCCTGAAACTGCTATTTTTTGAAACCAGGTCCCAGAGTGGATAAATCTGAAAACGCCCCCCTTGCGTTTTCGTGTGGACAGCTAATCCGTATATTGTGTGAAACGATGATGACATCGCCACTACGTCACGTAACAGCAACAACAACAGCGGACTAAATGCTCGTGTTCGTGCTGCAGAAGCTACTGAGCCTATTAGCTTTACTAAAAAACAATCAAAAATTACTAAAGCAAAAATGTTTGTATACAGCGCGTAAGGTTTAATGTATCTCTGTGGCAGAATTACAGCGCCACATACTGGTCTGGCATGTATACTACATAGTTTTGAGTCGGTTTCAATTGTTTCGTGTGTAGTTTTTTTTTTTTTTTAGAATGAGGAAAAAAAAAAAGATTGGATAGGGAAAGCTCTGGCTTCATGTGGATGTGGCCTTAGAGAGGACTTCTGACAAATATAAAAATTCATCATCATCAACTACTATTATATATATATGGTCAAAAGTTTACATCCCCCTTTCAGAATCTGCAAAATGTTAATTATTTTACCAAAATAAGAGGGATCATACAGAATGCATGTTATTTTTTATTTAGTACTGACCTGAATAACATATTTCACATAAAAGACATTGACATAGTCCACAAGAGAAAAAAAGTTGAATTTATAAAAATGACCCCGTTCAAAATGCTTGATTCTTCATACTGTGTTGTTACCAGGATGATCCACGGCTGTGTTTTTTGTTTTGTGATGGTTGTTCACGAGTCCCTTGTTTGCAACTATTACAGAAGATCAGGGTCAATGTAACTTATTTTGTCTTCTGGGAAACATGCAAGTATCTTCTGAAGGGCAGTACTGAATGAAAAATAAGAAAAATGTACACATCTTCATTCTGTTCAAAAGTTTACACCCCTGGCTCTTAAAGGTCACGTATTATACACCTTTCTGGAGTTTTATTTTAGGTTTTGATGTCCTTAAGAATATATATTTGCAGTATAAGTACCAAAAACCATCTAAATATATTTTTACAGCTCCTTTCTCAGAAGCTCTGCTAAGAACAGGCTGATTTTGGCCTGTCTAATTCATATTCATGAGCCTCTTGTTTTCTGAGTGACGCACGGCCAGGCCAACCACAGGTAACTAGGGTCATGTATGCTGTAGCCTGCTATGGCAAATAGAAAAATAGAAACAACTGTAATGATGGCCACTGCTGAGGGAAATGTTGTCCGGCCTTACATGTTTGAGCCGGACTCAGACCCCAAATCAGTGACGACAGGAGACAACCAACCACCTCCTCAAATGCGCTTACAACAGGATGTTTCAGAATGGTAATTAAATTTTTTTTTTTTTTCAAAAACCGAATGCAGTAATCTACGTAACTATTGCTTTCCTACTGATACAACACGTCAGCATCAAGTTAGCAACACGCTAGGGGTTACATTATACATTTACATTACATAATGCCTGTTACATTACAGTACATAAAATTTCACTTGCCACATAAACAGAGCAAGGAGAGATGACTGAAGACAATGACGAATGATTTGCAGATCCTGAGCACCACTGACAAACATCTAATCTTGTAAAATGTGTGGCAAGTACTGCCGCTCCATAGTATAAACAGAGTACGTGCGGTCGCGAATCTCGAAAGTGAAAGTGAAACTAAAAAGCGATCGTGCACTCAAAAGTAGTTTCAATGCCAGGCATTATAGCAGCTCCCTGCCTGATGCCCGCAATTTAAACAGTATAACAATGATATAACTGCGAGAGAAAATATTGAAATATATATTTTCCTCTCATCTCGTATTTATTAACTTTAGGGGTTCTGTAGTACACGTCATTTTCTTTCCGAACACGGTATTGGGATGCAGCTGGATTGCGGGGGGTATTGGGGATCACGATGCATCGTCCATCGCCGATGGCTGATAGACTGCATCGATGGCATCGTCTATCGGCCCAACCCTAGTTCGGAAACCTGTGCAGTGATGTAGTTTCCTGACATCCATCGACTGAACAGCGTGTTTCCGTGTGGTTGCTCAGCTCTGGCATGGACGCGATGTTGTCTGGGGGTTTGGCAAAAGGAGGGTGGGACGATGGGCAGTGCTCGGGGTGGTGACTGAAGGCGGTGACTGTGTAGTTCTGACGTCACATTTATACGGAAGTCACAACGGCTCGTGAAAAGGCACAGCTACTTTATGCAGGCTGTGCGCATTTGTCTGTGGATTGACTGTTTTGAAACTTATATGGTAGTTACATAGCCCTTATTCCTCAGTTATCACAAAAAAAGCCAGGCAATTTCAGTTTTGACAATATGGGACCTTTAATGCATCGTTTTTCCTTCTGGAGCATCAGTGAGCGTTTGAACCTTCTGTAATAGTTGCGTATGAGTCCCTCAGTTGTCCTTCCATCACCGATGACATAAAACCGTTCTCTCTTGAGTGATTCCTCAGGTGGTGATTAAGAATGACTGTAAATCTGAAACTCTTTCCTCGCTGACCATACAAAAATGACTTTTTTATGTGCGAAACTTCATCCACATTGAGCACATATGTTGGCACGTGAATTCGTTCTCAGTGTCAATTCTTACGTGGGCATTAAGAATTTCTTTATTGGAGAATTTCTTGCCACACAGTTTGCAGGTGAAAGGAATCTCTCTAGCGTGACTTCTTATGTGGGTATAAAGGTTTTTGTTATGCCTGAAACTCTGTCCACACTGATGGCATGTGTAAGGTTTCTCTCCACTGTGAATTCTCATGTGGACTGTAAGGTTTTGTTTTTGAGTGAAATGTTTTCCACACTGTTGGCAGATGAAAGGCTTTTCTCCAGTGTGAATCCTCATGTGGTCATTAAGAGTGTGTTTATATGTAAAACTCTTTCCACATTGCGTGCATGTATAAGGCTTCTCTCCAGTGTGAACTATCATGTGGCTTTTAAGGCTTCCTTTTTGAGTGAAGCTTTTTCCACACTGATGGCAGGTGAAGTAACTGTTAGATTTGGTCTTCTGAGCTCTTTTTTGTGAGGAAGTCTTTTCAGTTTCACAGAATTTTTCTCCATTCTTGAAATCGTGATGTATTTTCTCATAGTGATCTTTCACTTCCATTTCAGCTAGTACTTCACTCTCCTCTTTCAGCACCATTAGGTCTAAAATGAAGAAAGACAAATACAATTTAACACCAGTTTAATAGCACACAGCAACAGACATCCAAACCAACAACTTGCTTGCTAGATTCTATATGGACTAAGCCAGTGAAAGCGGAGTTGTGTCAGTCCAAGTAAGCTGGCATTTATCAAACCCCTCATCACTTGACCCAGGAGAAATGGTTTATTATAGACCAATCCCAATGTTCAGTTTTACAACAAAATGAGATTTCAGTCAGTATTTAAGCCCCACTGTAGCACAAAAACGTATTAATGCTGCCTTCGTGCTATCGGAAATGTCCTATTTCCCACTTATGAAGTCTTGAGTCTTATGAGCTTGTTGTATTCAAAGTGCTTTAAATGTCGGAAAGAATAAAATGTAGCATCCCATTGGTTGACTATGATAAACATTCACCGCGCTACACGATTCTGGAATTACGGTCAAATACATGCTTATTTCACTGCTTATAAAACATACAATATGCTTCGAATGATCGTTCATATCTAGCCTATAAATACACTACTTTAGCAACAAGACAAAAGGATGTAGTTGTTGTGAGAACAGCATTGACAGCAGCAATGGTTGTCCCCTCCACCATGTTTAAAGATTATGACCCGCTAGGGATGGGGAGTCGACTCCAAAAGAGTTGATTCCTCGACTCTGAATAGCCCTAGAGTCGGAGTAGAAATGTGTCTCTCCTCTCCCTCAAACTGTGTGCTGTGCACTCACAAATCTCTCTATGCTCATGCGCTAGATAATAATTCTTTCCGCACCTGAATTAAACATTGTCAAAAGTTATTATGCACTTTTAAAAAGTAGTCTCAAAACAGACTTGTTCAGGGCCTTTCCTTGATTTTTTTTATTGTTGTATTTAAACTATATATAAACTGGTTATTGTACATTGTTTTACTAGGCCCACTTGATCTCTTTTATGTTTGCATTTTGTTATTTTCTGTGAATGCACATATGCATCTCTCTGTAAAGTACTTTGTAAACACAGTTTTTTTTAAAAGGTTCTATATAAATAAAGCTTTAACCAATCAGACCACAAGATATAACACAATAAATGCTGTGATAGAATAGCTGTTTTGACATTTATTGGGAGTTTTTTTTTCCATCCAGAGTTTGTTTTCAGTTCTGATTTTAGTTAGATTTTTTTTTCATGAAAACCCACTTCATATTAGCTACACATTCAATGGCACTCTCTTCTAAAACAGTGAATATACAGTTATATGACAGTTACATGTTATTACATGGTCTGTAAATGCATTAAACACACAGAGTATAATATAGTGTATGACAAATACGAGAAATTCATTATAGTGTTATATTTGGTCTCCAAATCTTAAGTATCGGTATTAAGTATCTTAAGTATAGTGTATAACTCCAAGTACACAATACATATGACCACAAGAACTTCATATTCTTTTTAGTTTGTGTTTAGATAAATCGTTCTATAATGTATGACAAATATATGAGAAATTCATTATAGTGTTATATTTGGTCTCCAAATCGTAAGTATCGGTATTAAGTAGGCTATCTTAAGTATTGTGTATCAATCCAAGTACACCATAATACATATATGACCACAAGAACTTCATATGCTTCTTTGTTTGTGTTTAGATAAATCGTTCAGAGAGGTTTGACCAAACTGTTAAACTAGGTTATTTCCAAATCATCCAAGCACCCGATTAATATCTAATATTTGATTATTATGACTAAGTAGTTTTAAATTGTAAAGAAATTACAGATCCAACTCTTGACAACGTTTAATTCAGGTGCGAAAATAATTAATATCTAGCGCATGAGCATAGAGAGATTTGTGAGTGCACAGGACAGTTTGAGGGAGAGGAGAGACATGTTTTAAGTCGCATGAGCACAGAGAGATTTGAGAGTGCACAGGACACAGTTTGAGTGAGAGGAGAGACATGTTTTAAGTGCGCGCACTCTCTCCGGGCGAGAGCAGCGTGTATTGGAGCGCACGCGTCCGGTTTATTTATGTGCTTTCGCACTACAATAATGCACTCTCGACATTTGTCATTAAAATAACGCCATAGTCTGCTCCGGTCCAGAGACATGATAGCATGGAGCGGATCACATGCGCGAGTCGGTGCAGACCACAAAATGTATCGGAGCTATTTGAATTCTACACAGAATGCTATATTTTATAGCAATATGGATGAGATTGTGGCTGGCATACCCTGTCAAATGTAGCGTTACGGAGCTCAACGGCTCTGAACGGCTCTAGCCCAAGCTGTGATATAAACTAACGCTATTGGCTATTTTAAAAAGGGGCGGGCTGCTTGATATGTCCCGCCCTGTCTTCCTGTTTCAGTTAAAATGACGTCAACACAGAGTAACGCTGCGTGTTTCTAAGCATTTCAGGGGACCTTTAAAGAGTGAACGAAATTAAGCGAGGATCCGTTTGCTGTGCAGTCCGTGTGCGGTGTGTAGCCTATGCGGTGCAGAAGAAGCACGGGCTCAGTGTGCTTTATTTAGTGTGCTCAGTGCGCTATGATCCGCGGCTGTTTACCACCCATTATTTTTTAATTCAAATTCGAACGTTGTTGCTAATTTTTTTCTCACTCTCAGCATTGTGATTATCTTTTCACACATACATATTCACGTGTAAGCGCAATATTATTAAATGCATTTTACTTCTGTACTGATTTATATATTAAGTTTATATATTAAGATGCTCAAGCAAGTGGCGAAACATGTAAACACAGCCTACAGTCTACTTTTCTTACGTTAAGGTAGTAGGCTATCACAATTTTAAATTAATACTTACCATTGACAGAAACAGCCGTCTCATGCCTTTTTTTGTTTGTTTTTTTGCATTTACATTACAAGAAACCCTGCTGGTCATAAAAAGAACTTTGTTTTCTAACTCCACGAGTGCCATCGGTTACCATGCTTTACCCATATAGCTAAAACTACTTTAATTAGCCTATACGCATTTATGGTGCAATTAATACATTTTGTATCAATCCATGTACATTTTTAACGTGAGCAATGCCCTGTCACTTTAATTCAGGGTGTGCAGCACAGCAAAAATAAAATAGACTCGGTGCGGGAATGATCGCTGCGATGCTGCATATACGTACCGCTCGGAACGCATCGAGTGAATGCTCAACAAAAGCAAATGCTCAAAAAAAAAAACACGCACTGCAAACGGTGTATGTGTGAAACAGGTGTGGAATAGTAAATGTAGTTTGTAATTAGGCTATACATGCTTCTGTGACAGTTTGTATAATTGATGTTTTGTTATGCAATGTTAACCTATGTTTAATGCAGTCAATAGCCTATAGGCTACATTAGGTTTTCCATAGGCTATTCAATCATTAAACTAAGCTTAAATCATTAAAAACTGACACATAATAAACAAATCAGTAAGTGTAGGCCTACATTCGTATGTATTTTTGTATTTAGGCCTATTGTATTTATTTTTTAATATGCTGTTTAAGACTATGCGTTTAGCGCCATCCCCTGACCATTGTGAGACGAATTCAGTAAATAATATATTATTTTTTATTTAATTCTGAGAGAATATTCCACCAATGGCTGTTTTTCGTGACTTTTCCCTCTGTGAAATTAAGTGTCGGCAACAGCAAGCAACAGTGATAGCTAATTTAAAGGTAATGTCACTGCTAAATTGGACTAATTTGGACAGTCACGGTAAATGGAGTCGTGAAATTAAGTGTCGGCAACAGCAAGCAACAGTGATAGCTCATTTCAAGGTAATGTCACCGCTAAATTGGACTAATTTGGACAGTCACGGTAAATGGAGTCGTGAAATTAAGTGTCGGCAACAGCAAGCAACAGTGATAGCTCATTTCAAGGTAATGTCACCGCTAAATTGGACTAATTTGGACAGTCACGGTAAATGGAGTCGTGAAATTAAGTGTCGGCAACAGCAAGCAACAGTGATAGCTCATTTCAAGGTAATGTCACCGCTAAATTGGACTAATTTGGACGGTCACGGTAAATGGAGTCGAGGAGTCGATTCCATCGACTGCGATGGTGAGAGTCGGGAGTAAGAGTCGACTCCGAAAAACCTGGAACCGAACACCCCTATGACCCGCCCAACTCGGAAACTGGTATCAAAATTATTTCAGGATTTCCCAGTAGTAAATACGACCTGAGAGGCGTTCACGTGTAATTTCCGATTAGGAAACTCATATTTACGATAATTCCGATAGCACGTGAAGGCAGCATAAAGTTTTTCTCCATTTTTGTAATTTTCTGATGTTGTAAAACATTTCATGTTGATGTTGTTTAACTGAGATTTTTAATGTATTGTTATACTTTTTTCTCTCCTAACAGACATCTAGTGGTCAAAGTTGATAAATGTATAGATACAGGTGAACTTATTAAAACACTTCCTGTTCTCTTTTGTTTGGCACCCTGATAAGGCCTGTTTGACCTGAAAACCGTTGTTGTTTCTTTGTATGTATCTCTGCAAATAAAGGCTTTTTAAAAGCTAAAATCTATATGAGTGACTGGACGAGGAATTATTTTTTATGAACAACAGGATGTTGATTGATTGATTTAATTCATAGATTTTTTCCCCTTTTAAGGATGTACCAAGACAAACTATAGTTTTTCAACATGACATCACGGTGATTGGTCCTCCTATTAGTCACCATGTATACAGAGTTATTCAGAAGAAGATAAAGGTGATGCAGGTAATGAAGAGAAGTATCCACTGAATGACGGTTGGCTGAGCTTAGTGGAAGTTCATGGAGTTCTTCATGTTTACCTGATCCAAAGCCTGTTGGAATTATTTAGGAAGATCAGTGCAGTCAAGTTCCCGATTCTTACCATTTACCCCGAATGAAGGGCTGTACTGATAAGAATTGTATTGTTGTTTTGTTATGGTGCTTTTCCACTGCATGGTACGGCTCGGTACGGTTCACTTTTGGGGGGTTTTCCACTGGGTACAGTACCTGGTACCTTTTTTAGTACCACCTCGGTTGAGGTTCCAAGTGAACCGTACCGTTACCAAAACGTGACGTGTAAACTCTGCTGATCACGGATTGGCCGGAGAGAATCGTCACTACCTGCGTCACTGAACTTTTAAATCAATACAGCCAGCGAAGGATCGAACGCAACTGTTTTGAACGAGCGCACCTTTTTTTAACAACCAAAAAGTTTTGTTGTCTGTTGTGGAAGTACAGACGTTCCTCTCGTTGATAACAGAGGAGCAGATCCAGCGAGAGCTTGATGGGGCGACGCGGAATGAAAACGTTTTTTAGGAGTCGTGGTAGTAGAGGCGGCACAACTATAACGACATGTGAATAATCCCGCCCACTCTAAAGCGGTACTGAACTGCAGTGGAAACGCAAACCGTGCCGAGCCGAACCGTGCCGTGCCGTACTGAGCCGAGTCGTACCACGCAGTGGAAAAGTGCCATTAGTTAACTTGATTTACTAGTTGTAGTCAAGTCCTGTTACCTTCTGTAGCCTCTGATGTATCAACTTTGGTAACACAAGACACTTTTTTTATCCAATATAATTTCCTGTAAAGCTACTGGAAAATTCTGTACTGTGAAAATATGAACCTTTATGTTGTAAAGCTTGTGGGAGCCTCATAAAGTGCTGGGGTTCACAGCAGCACTGAGTGAGCTCATGAATGCACGTGTGACAGCTGTGTCTATATGGATGCAGAGATGCATTATTTTTCTAAGAATCTTTGTGTTCATCTGAAGAAAGACATATACAATCACATACAGCATAAGAGTGAGTAAATGATGAAAGCATTTTAATTTTTGGGTGGAGTATCCCTTTAACATTACACATAATAATTGTTTTGTTTAGGCTATATCTGTATATTATCCTAAAGCACGTACTATAATTTATTAATGTGTGTCCTGTCATAACAAACGTTTAACTTATAAGCAGGATTTTCTCCGGTTAAAGGCATCGTTAGTATTTGTCTGGTCATGTGACCTCAACATGTCTGACCACATGAGGCTTCATGACAAATTAAACCACTTAAATGACGACACTTATATGACATTCTTCAAAAATATAATTAATTTCTGTACAGCTGGACATTTTAATAAGGATCAAATTAATGAGTTCAGCTTTAAGAATGAAAACCAACCTGTTTGTTCCTCAGTATCTTCATCTTTGACTCTGAATGTTTCTTCAATCTTCATGTCTTCACTCTCCTTTTCAATAAACACCATCTCTGTTTGTGTCTCAGTATCTTCATGTTTGACACTAAATGCTTCTTCAATCTTCATGTCTTCACTCTCCTCTTTAATAAACGCCATCTTTATAATAGTAATCTGGGTGCGTCTCAGTCAGCTCCCTAGTTCAGTAGTCAGCGCACTGGTAAGATAAAGTCTGTCAGAGTGAGAGTTAATGGGCTTAAATGACAAAACTAGCACAAAAAACAATTATATTTAGAAAATGTTTAATATTTAAGTATTCATGATTTATATGTTGTATCTAATATGTAGATTATATTTAATAGATTCCACTTTCAAGACACATTACTGTTGGTTAGTAAAAGTCAAATCACACGTTTGTTTGTTGTTCTCGTTGCATTTACACTGTTTTGAGCAGCAGATGTTGTCAGTGTGTGCGGTGATTCGAGCGATTCAAAACAGTGAATCAATTGTTTCAATTGACTCGGAGTTTCAAAAAGCAAAGCTCCGTTTATTTGCCAGTGACCGAATTCGTGTTTTGATAAACTGACTCACGAGCAAAATGAGACGCACCTTATAGTTAATCATGCGTAGATGCGCTTTACTAAAAAACAACGCTCATAAATGTTAGATGAAACGTTACAACGATAAATTCATAATAAATTATTCATTTTACATAACTTGCAGAAACTGCTTAAACCCTCCAGATGCTTAAAAACACCAACCTTTCTTCAGACGCAGGAGCGCAGCGTAGCCTTATGAAGTCATATCGCCAAACCAAAATAAAAGTCCTGAATAGTCTTCTTCTTCTTTAAATTTTATTGGCGGTTGGCAAAACAACTGAAAGGTGCATTTACCGCCACCTACTGGACTGGAGTGTGGGTAGTACTATATATATATATATATATATATATATATACATACCTTCTCCTTCCCCCCTATATATCTCCATCAAATTCTTTCACTTATCCCAGTATTTTTCAAATCATTCATTAGGAGACTATGTAAGTCCTGAATAGTGCAGAGAAATGTAGGTACATAGAAATACATTACATACATTCAGAAAACACATAAATAACAAAACAAATGTCAGAGGTTCTTGTAGTATGTTAAATGTAGTAAATACTCAGCAATCTTTTCTCAGGTCCAGCATGTGTCGCTCCTGCTGATTCTAGTCTTTTACATTGACTAAGTGTTTTTCAGACAGACATAAATCTCAACATCTGTCCTTTACATTGCTTGTAGAGGATAAAGAGAAACATCTTTTTCATTTCAGAGCTCTACTTTTGTATGTACTTGTTTTGTATATACTCATGTCTGTCTGATGTGAGAGCAAATTACGTCACTACACTGGATCCGTGCATTCGCCTCATAAACCTGCTGCTGTTTGTTCCGATCATGTTAAAAACTAAAAGCACAGAGAACACACACACATTAGTAGCTTTAATAAGAATCTATTTATTCCATACAGATAAGATATTATTTATTTATTCATTTTGATTTCAGTATTATTTGTGACTTGATTACTATTGTTAAATAGAGATACTCTACCAAAAGAAACACTATTTCATTTGTATATTTATTCTGTTGTATTTGCTCTATAGACTCCTGTTGTTTTTAAAAAAGTTTCCAGTTAACATTACTTTGATTCATGTCAATTCTAGTCTGTTTCTGGTATCAGTCTCATGCTGTATGTTAACATGTTGTTGTGTGTTTTTCAGGATCCTTTGACTGTCTTAATGAAGTGGGAACTCCATCCATGACGTTATAAAATCAGATGACCAAAATGTATGTTGCTCTTTCAGTATAAACCAAACTTTTTTGCCTCTTGTTTCTTTCTGTGAACTGTGACTCCTGACGTAAACATCAGCATTTACAGTTTCAATCAAAACATGTTTAAAAAATGTAGTTTGTAGATTATCAAGTACACAAACAAAACGGGATCAGTTCACTTATGGTTGCAAATATTTTCTTCATTTTTTTTAGGTGGCCATCAAATTTTTTTTAAAGGGGTCATATGATGCGATTTCAATTGTTCCTTTCTCTTTGGAGTGTTACAAGCTCTTGGTGCATAAAGAAGATCTATAAAGTTGCAAAGACTAAGTCTCAAATCCAAAGAGATATTCTTTATAAAAGTTAAGAGTCAGCCGCGCCTACCTAAAACGGCTCGTTCTAACACGCCCCCACATACCTACGTCGCTATGTGGGAAGATTTGCATAATGCCGCCCAAATGTTCACGCAAAAAAAGAAGGCATAACTTTTATTCTCGCTGTAGTATTGTTGTTGCCGTGTGTTTCGTTGTGAAAGTGAAACTACTTTGTTTGGTCTTCCAAAAGAGGACGATATCTGTTTCATCATGCCTGGAGCTGATCCGTGCTGGTTGCTGAGGAAATACAACTTTGCTTCGTCCACGGTGAAAGCCTATCTGGCGATCCACAGCGCAGAGTCCAGCTATTTCCTCAGCGACCAGCACGGATCAGCTCTA